AAAGAAAGAAAGAAAGAAAGAAAGAAAGAAAGAAAGAAAGAAAGAAAGAAAGAAAGAAAGAAAGAAAGAGAAAAGAAAGAAAAAAAAACAGTAGCAATTCTAGGGCAGTTGGAAGCAGCTATTTTGGAAAACCTTGAGGAAATGGCTAAAAATATCACAAAATTGCCAAGTTACAGAAATTCTTACTAACGACGTACAGCATCCTGAGAATTGGGCTCTTCAGCTTATCTGGGGAGTACCTGCTTTCAGCCCATGGCCTCTGCTTGGATATTATGGGCCTGCATCACTGACCTCTGATTTCTAGTGTTCTGCTGAGCCTGGAGTGTTGCTACAGAGAACATTCCCAGCTGGGGAATTGAAGTCAAGTGTTTCCAGGTTTGAGCCTGACTGGTGCATATGCTACATCTCCTGGCTGCGCTTTGATATAACCATATTCAGAGAATCACAATACAGACAGACAGACAGACAGACAGACAGACAGACAGACAGACAGACGGATGGACACACACACATACACACACACACACACACACACACACACACACACCATGAAAAAGAGAAATTGACTGGTAACCAGCTCCCAGTGATAGACTATAATATTCTCTTGATTCTCATTTTGATAAAATGTGAGAGCTGAAAGTTAGAAATACTAAGATGGAATCTGTTTTCTCTTATATCCTATTTGCAAGAGAGCCAATATTATATTCTGAGCAACTAGGAAAAAATAAATAAGAAAGAGGAGTTTCAAAGGTGGAAAACGATGTTTTGAAAGTACCAATTCTATTCTGATGCTAGATCAAAGATCCAATACAGGACTTAGCAAATGACTTCTAAGAAGACACAAGGATGTAAAATGGTACTCAACAATATGAACAAGTTTCAGGACTATTAAGTGGGGCAGAAGAAACTACAAACAAAAGAATATCTGCATTGTAGTTTCTTTTATGTGAAGTTCAAAACCAAACTACAGAAATAAAACTCTGGATTACTGTTTTCCTAGGGAAGATAAGGGGTGAATTAATTGAAAAGGACAGCGAGAAAAACTCGGGTGTACACCTTGATTTAGGGGACAGCAGATGGGTCAATACATTCAGCTGTGTTCTGAGTTTATCTCTTATGTTTCTAAGATGGTGTTCTTATGTAATCAGGACATTTTTGTGAGCCAGTTGTTAAACCATTCCAAGCTTAAAATCAGGCACAGTGGAAGTATTTAAATTATGAGAATCAATAAATGCTACAATCATGGTTTTTTTTTTCCTTAGAGAGGTAGTTTGTTGGCATATCCCTAAAAATATTTGACAAATTCATGAAGTCACACAGTAAAGATTCATGAATTGTATTATGCTATGGTTTGTGTCTAGTTGTCCCCCCAAAGCCTTGTGCAAGTCATGGGGCAGATTCTACAGTTTGTGATTAACTCATGACTTAATGTTGGGATTATGGGTAACAAGACTATATTTAGTTTGGGGTGCACCTTAGAACTTTGTGCGATATTCTCAAACTGTTAGAAGTGCTGGTCATTTATTTGCCATTCCAGTATTTATTTTATGTTTTACTCTTAGTACTTCTTTGCTATCATGAAAACTTTTTCTTAGTTCCATTGTTTTGAAACATTTAATTTTCTGAATATTGCTTAATCTTAATTTTTGTTCTAAGATTTATACTGTATCTTT